CGCCTGGAAATCAGCCAAATCAGCCAAAGGACCCAGCGGATCCCAACTCTTATCGCCCCATCAGCTTAATCAGTACCCTACAAAAAAAAACTAATGGAAAAAATAATAGCCAACAGGCTCCCTCAAGACAGTTATGGAGCCTGTTGGCTATTGTCACCACGGACCAGCTCGATCGATTGCAGCACTCACCGCCATTCGTAGGAAACACCACCTCGTCCCTTCATTCTTCGACGTAACCGAGGCCTTCGACAAAGTATGGCAAGCGGGGCTAATTTACAAACTATACGAGCTATGACCAGTTTCACATACCCCCCAAATTAATCAGATGGATTGCCTCGCACTTCTCCAATAGCACATTCCAGAGTCTGTGACGAACTCTCTTCCCCTCAACAGGGAAACCTCAAGGCTCCGTCACAGCGCCCCTAATGTTCATCATGCACGTTAACCATCTGCCGAGCTGAATCCCCCGTGCCCTCAAGTCGACACGCTGACGACACGCTGACGACACGGTCCTCTGGCTCTGGCTATTCTCGACCCTCTTGCATTAAAAACTCCTCACTCTCTTGATCCCGACTTTCTCGTTCGGCATAAACTTCTATTCCCAAAAATTCTCGGTGGAACTTGCCATCCTCCTCGCTTTAAAGAATCTTCGATCTCTCTTTCCGGGCTCCACCTTCCTCCTCATTGGCGATCGTCTTCCTCCTCATTGGCGATCGTCTTCCTCCTCATTGGTGATCGTCTTCCTCCTCATTGGTGATCGTCTTCCTCCTCATTGGTGATCGTCTTCCTTTCACTCATTCTGAGCCCAGATTATTATGGCTCACCGAGGAGCCATTGCAGATCGCTAAGAGACCCTGCCATGCAATTTCACCCTCTTCCTTCCTATAATAAAGGACACGGGGCGTGCGTTTGGGTGGGTGGAGCGCAGACGCCAAACGGGATGGCAACTACCGCGAAAACACCAGAATTAACATTAAAACAACAAATTTACAGAGATTAAACAAAAACATCCTGGGTCTGACTAATGCTCTCTCTCTCCCTTTTGCATTGTCCATCATCCTGACGCGGCTAGCCGCCCGAGTATAAAAAAAACTCAAGTCATCTTCGTCCTTACCGCCTTCACCTCCATCGACATCTTCCTCGTCGTCACCACTCGCATCCACATCTCATCTACATCGCCATCGCAACCTTCGATATCATCGCCCTCTTCCTCACCTCTCCACCTCACTCACTATTCCTCCTCTGCCCCAGTATAAAAATCCCAACCGTGTCCTCGGTCACATCGACGTTCCATGTCTCTGTGTATTCAAGGTCATTTCACCGTGATAAGGAGTATGTTAATTTCCCGAAGGGTCGCCCAATAACGCCCAGTGCGGCTGGCACCCTGAAGGGCCTGCTCAAGTCTCCATCGTAAATAGTGGTAGCATGTAAAATACCAGAAAAAAAGGGACCATAACCGGGGGCGTTCTGCAGAGAGCATTCCGGCACGTTATCGGGGATATTCACGCCTGGGCAGTGCACCTCACGTCTGGGCAGTGCACCTCACGTCTGGGCAGTGCACCTCACGTCTGGGGAGTGCACCTCTCGGGTGCCTCCCTTCACTTCCCGGACGCATGAGAACTCCGTGCTCCAGCCACCCTTTCCGCATCCTGGCGACCTCCACTCGGGGGATGTTTTCTTATATATCTCTTCCACCTTAAACAGATAGTGGCCCTTGGTTTTCCATTCTCTACCAAGCACACTTTTGTTCATGTGGGGCTTGGCGCTGAACCTACAGAAGCCTTCACATATGCAACGTCTGCCAGCTAACATTAGCGGCAGGAGAATCCACGTTACTTTCCTCAACAGTGCCATTAAAGCTTCAAAGCTTCCCACGTGACAGTGACACTGATGAACTTGGTCCTGTGCCCTCGTGCCCGCCCTCGTGCCCCGCCCTCCCTCCTAGCCTCCTCCCTCCTGGGAAGGTATAGGTTGGTAGGCCCGCGAGTAAGGCTAAGGTTCCAGAATTCTGGGTCAATTACCGAGAACAAACAGTTCTACAGAAGAAGACAATCGGGCCGAGAGGGGCCAATCTCGAGATTTTCTGCGAAACTTCTCAAACGACGTGCCAATATGGAATTTCTCGAGCCTTCCCGACGAGCTCTGTGGGCGGACTGCCTTCGGCAAAAAAAAAAGCCAAAATCCCGCCGCTATTTTAAAAATTCACCTCGTGAACGGGACGAGCTTTCACCTTTCAATCTTGTTGAAAAGGAAGGGAGAAGAAAGAACTCAATCGTGCCAATCGTGCCAATTTCCATCGGATGGAAAGAACGACAGGATTGGCTCGCTTTTTGCGTCCGTGACAAAATGCTGGGACGAGTTTTCGGTTTGGCACGAATAAATAAGCGTTTTCCGATGAGGATGCGGAACCTGCTCATCGACGCATTTTGGCTTGCAAATTTGAATTTTGGCACTGGATTCATAAATTGCTGGGATCTCCCGTCTGTCTGCCGCGAAGACAATTTCGATACGATGGTCGGCCTCGAGACGGAAAAAGTACAAGTACCTTTTCAAAGTACTCAACCTGGAAAAAGTACTTGGAAAAAGTACTCAACCGATAAGGATGCAGAAATTTTTCTTCTCTCCGTTTCCTCACAACACCCCATCGGCGCCGACAGGGAATGACGGCAGACGAAACTCCGGAAACAGAAAGTGGAGGCGAATTCAACGCGAATTTTTGGATTCCCACCAAATGTACTCCACCGACTTTATTAATACATAATTTCATTGAGAGAAAATTTTTCATCGGTGGAAGACGAGTTGATACCCACCGAGGCCAGAAAGTGCCTCAAAATTGTCTCAATTTCTCCCAAACATGGCCTGGATTTCTCCCAAACATGGCCTGGCACGTTGCTGAGGTCTCTATGCGGCCTCAGCAGAGAAATCCTGGAACATTTTCCCGACGAAATAAGTGGGACGACATGGCCAAACAAACGAAGCCGTCTCCATCACGATCAAGCCCATGGCTCCCCTTAAGATTAATTCCCCGGGAACCACCCCCCACCGCCAAGTTCCCTCCACCATGCCAATTGGCCAATGCCAATTGGGATGCTCCTTGAATTTTCTCTCCATTCAGAGCCGAGGTCAGGAGCCAGTTGGATTCTCTGTCAGCCCCCATCGCAGGTAGGAACCGAGCTGCTGCTCAAGGTACGGCTTCGGCACAACACTGCAGAAACGTCCATGAACAAGTGGCGAAAGTGAGTCTGTACTACATACTATAGATTTATGCCGCAGAGCATATCAGCATTTCTACAGGTCATTGAAGAGATGAGTCGCTTCTGAATATAGGTGTTCTTTTCCACGTTGAGGAAGGTGAAGGGACTTTTCCTTCACTGCCTGACTTGCCTCTCCTTCCTTCCTCCCCTGTATGAACGAATTCCTACCATAAAGAAGACCATTCCTTTCCGGTGCACGGGCTCATGATGAAGACGATAAGGTGATGTCGTTTACACTATCGACTTCTTCAGAGCTCGAAGTGGAGGTCAGACGCCTCTCCTAGCCTTCACCTATGGGGTGAGCTTTCCCTCAGGCTAGCCTGAGGCCTGAGCGTTTGGCCTATAATGTTCTCAAGCTGGCCCACGGTCTCAATCAATTTCTTCGACAGTAAAGCACGATTTGATCTTGTCCGGGCCAATATGGCGACGATCGCCATATTGGCGACCGCTTAGAGACAACGGTTAGGCTTTGGGGACTGGGGGGGGGGGAGAGGCAGAGAGGGTTTTTCTGGCTGCCCTGAGAGGCACCAGTCCTAATCGCGCAATGGCTTTGGTCACTAATGCCGTTCTACAGATTGTTCATGAAAGTCCCGCCAAATGTTCTAAACACCCTAAGGTGTCCCTTCCTTGCGAGTTCTCAAATGGGAAATTTCCTGTGAAAACTCAGTGAATAAGGCACTTGTTCTGAAATTCTCCGAGTCCCATTCATTCGCCTATCTCCCAAAACTCGACCAAACGCCACAAAATGCAAGAATCTCCTCCACTAGCCTACCGCCACATTTCCACAAAAGAACCCATCCACAGAAAATTGCGCACGACGGTGAAGCACAGTGGCCGAATAGCGGCGCAGTTGCACCTTTCCGGAGTCAATAGGATGGGAAGCCAAGAACGCACATATAGGAAAGTGTGAAGTTCCAAGACCTCACTCCTTATTAGGCCTCAAAATTGTACACGCCATCCAATGACGAGTGTTGAACTAATACCATGTATTAGTCGGGCCATTTAACGCTGTCAACACGCGTTAAGGACGACATTCGCGTTAAGGACGACATTCGCGTTAAGGACGACATTCGCGTTAAGGACGACATTCGCGTTAAGGACGACATTCGCGTTAAGGACGACATTCGCGTCAAGTGTTTCCAAACGGGAATGTTGGGCATGAATCACGTCGCAGCTACGACGAAGGAAGGCATCAAGTGGAGGGTCGTCTCGTGTACATCTCCAGGGATTTCTTTGGCTGCAGGGTCACGGCGATCGGCACATGGGAACGCTGTTTCCCTTCCTCCGACCCTCCTCCATCCAACGGGTACTTGCCGCTGCTCCGGAATATGCCCAGGTGGAGGTTCGGCACCGTCTGCGGAAGGGAGGACTGGATGGAATGCTTTCCACGTGTTTTCTCAATGGGTGACGCTTCGCTTACCCTCGAGGAGAAGCTGAACTCGTCAGGATAAGACTGATCGGGGAAAGAATTCTTGCGACAAGAATCCTCGATAGCAGGCGAGGACTTGTTTGCACTCTTATCATGCAGAACCTCTTGGAAGGCTTCGGGTCCGAACCAGCTTAAGATCACAGGAAGGTAAATGAGACCGTGGTAGAGTCCGTATAAGACCGAGGCCCACATGACCTGCAGGAAAGAAATCAATAGCTCATGCTTTTCAATGTCAACCTCCTCCGAAGATTTTCCCTTTCCAATATTTTAGGCTTAGTTCTCGAATTGTGATGCGGTATCCCGAGTTCCTAGTGATGACCCGGAGGTTGCCCGAGAAAGAAGCATGAAAGAAACTGGAATAGAAACGATGAGACAATCACCGACATGGTTGAGTTGCATCGTACAAGAACCTGCTCGTAGGCGTTCCACAGATTAGATCAACTAATCGTAATCATGTAATCATCTCCAATTAGCTCGAGTCATCTTTGAGATCGAAGCCATTATCTGGGTAGTAGGAGAGAATTAACAATGTCTACCGCGGATAGGGAAATAGGTAGGGATTCAGATGTGACCTGGGACAGAGACAAGTTCTTTGACCAAGACCCATTGGGACGCACCTCGAGACTGCTAATGAAGATATAGCTGTCACTAAACCAGCAGAAAACGAAGGACAACATAGTGGTGAAACCTCCGTTGAACACTGGAGGGCCAATGCTCGTCAGTGTGATCCTCACCCGATCTGCAATGAAGTAACCATCAGAAGCATTCTCGTGTCGGTCAGATTAGTAAAAAGTCGCGCGAATGAACAAAATATTTAAAATGTATCAAATCAGCATCGGTTCAATTATGCAAATACCAGGTGGTTTTAATTAACTAGTTAACACTTAAAGTCTCCACATCCTAAACAAACTTGTAATGGCGCAGTTGACGAACCTTAGGACTACGAATGCAGGGAAGTTCCGCAGCCAGGGAACCCACCATTTTTGGAGTCGGCATGGGTGACCATGAACCTGTGAGCGACGTGGGTCGAATAGTCAACCGCAAGCCCCACGGACAAGATGGTGAGAATGCACGTGAGCAGCTCGATCGTCAGTCCGAACAGCTGGATGCTCCCAGCGATCCCAACGAGGGTGAGGAGGATGCACGACAGGACCCATACGGAGACGCGCAGGTCCCCGACCAGGAGAAGGATGACGACGAAGACCCCAACCAAGGTGAACCCCAAGTTCCTCGGTAACTCGTCTGATACGACCTAAAACCAAGCTCTCCTTTAATCTCTATTGTCTCTCTGCAGGAATTCTTCTCACAAACTCACTCTGTTGGCCTCGGTGTGGAGATATTCACGTACGTAGGAACCACGGAAGGAATTACTGTGCTGGAATACTACATTCTGCAACACTTCTCGGACATCAACGAAGCCTTGCTGCTTCTCTGCGCTCGTTTTCATTATAATGTGTTGGAAGTTCCCCCGAGACGCCTTAACCAATAGAAATACCTCCTTTCTAGGAAACACTCTAATCTACAGCAGTGGGTAATCAAATATTGAAGGAAGCGATGGTACCAAAAGTCGATGGAATCCCTCTTGACCAATTCCAATGACGACAAGTTTCTCGCGAGGCCCTCCAGAGCTTCTCTTTCCCTGAAGTAGTCAACGTCCCCTGTAAGAGAGGTGTGTCTTCTCACATGATCAGAAAGAATCACAGGGTATGCACACACCCTATATGGAGTATTTATCTTGCCCGAGGACATTTTATTTACGGTTTCTCGCTGTTCGAAGTGATTAAGAAATAGTGGATGTATCCAATATTTGCCCAGGATTTCCCATCCCCTTAAATGTTCAACTCCACGGACGATAACCTAAATCGTGGACTAAGCACATGGGACGTTCCCATTGCAGTTACCAAGGTAAAAGGCGCCTCGGTAGCCGCTTTCCGGGAAGATGCTCTCCAAGACGACGATGAATTCCTTTAGATATCCGGGACCAAGGTACCAATACCGGTCGGAGGCCTTTTCCAATTGGGTCATTTTCCAGCCGTTCAGACCCAACAGGGAGAAAGTAGTCAGGATCACCAATACCTGAATGGTAGCCAGTATTGGTCATTCGTATGGGTTACGCTAACTATTGCAATTGAAACTGTAATTGCAATTTATTTACTTGCGATTACCTTGATTGGAGTTTTGGAGAGGGCAGGACCGACAACTTTCTCGAAGAGCGTCGGAAGAACCTGCCACTGCGAGCACCGAGCTGGTTTGTACGTTTTCGGCAGCGGGATGCAGAGGCAGCCCTCCCGATGGTTGTCCTTCCTCCTCTCGTCCAGCGCCATGCTCGGGACCATCAGCAGAAGGGTCATGACGTAGATGATGGAGATTCCCACCGCGGTGGAAATGCAGAAGCTCCGGAGCATCGGCACGGCCTTGGAAAATAAATTCCAGAAGTCCCTATCCCTCTTTTAAAACCATTCTGCCAATAATTTGCAGCGTTTCCTTCCAGTTATGAATTTGATTATTCCATCTCCATCATTGTAAACCTCGAAAAAATTTAGGTAGGCTCGTCTCACATATCTAGAATAACTTTGGCATACAGCATTCTCTCAATGAGAAGGAAGCAACCCCGAATTTCTTGTGCGGTAGCCAGCTTGGTGTCCGACACGATGGGCCACTAAGTGTTGACATCCGCAGTGCGCCTTGATGCCCTTGCAGCATAAAAAAATTGATATCTCAGGAACTACTTGATCTTCCATTAAAGTCACGTTCAATTCAATCCCAAGGATATCGTAATCTGATTAAGGTCGATAACCTAGATCTTGATTTCTCCCCAAACCCTATTTTTCTTATTTGCTTAAATGCCAATAAATGTATCACTCTTGCCGAAACAAATCAGAATACCACACGATGATATTTGTCGTAGTTTCTGAGAGCGTTTTAAAACACAATCGGCAAAATTCCTGCAAGGGGCCAAATCTTTGTGAAGTACTAGCATTATGTAGACTGTTTTGCATGGAAACTTCCAAATATTGGAATACTTGATGGGGGTATAGCATTAATAGTTTTACGAATTAATATATGTAAAAGTAACGCGGTAATGATGAAAAGTTGTGACGATTGTTAATCATGCTGCTGGGGTTAACATTTTACTGAAAACGAGCATGCTTTGTCGTTACAGTTTATAAAGAGAGTAATAGGAAAAAAGAAGAATTTCGTAGAATTAATGTTATTTTTCTCGAACTGGGGTTCAGTGGCCGAGTGGTTCTCGCTTCTCGTTTCAATTCGGGAGGCGAGGGATCGATTCCGTGTGGCGGCGGGCTCTTCCGCCGACAGGCGACCCACCTGCTTTCATGGGGAGTGTCTGCTAAGCGTGGGATAACACACATGCCGCGTTGTGTGCCACGTCTGAGAGATACGGGTGCAGTTCGCCTTAAAAATCACTTGTGCCATAGTTTAGGCAACCCGTGAGCTGCCCCTTTGGCCTCCTATATCGTAGGACCGTCAAGGGGTATCCCAGCCTGTGGGACTGTGAAATGGATGCGGTGCCCGTGCGAAGCGGGTACCCACATCCTCTCTGTGTACTGTAGTAGGTTCGTTGTCGTTTATGACTGCTGCATGTCCTGTCTTTAAAAAAAAAATTTTTTCTCCGCAAATCATGTTATCTGTCGACAATGCGAATCGACTAAAATGATAATTACAAAATGCCATGGTAAGACATCTATTGCATGCACAAGGGCAATTTTTCACTAAACTTCACCGAGATGACCCGACTAACTGACCGGGGAGATTGCCAGACGATTTAAAAAAAAAAAGCCCTTGTGCGGGCTGCGGTGGTCTTACATCGATATTTTCCACCGGAAATTATGGCGTCATTTGTCGTGTCGAGATAAAACGACACGATTAGGGGGAAAGACTAGACCATTGCATAATTTTCCCCATCCTATCAGGGCTCCAGGCAGGTCCTGTAACAAATTGGCTGAAGCACTTCCTGAGATTTCGCTTGTTTTATTGTTCAAGGGCATCGAAGGCATTCCGCAGAGCAATTTTACGACCAGCCAAGGGTCGGCGCACAATATATATCAATCAGGCTCCAAGCCTACCGAAGCCAACAAACCACCTACCACCCCAAAATAGCCAAAACCAAAAAATGGCACAACATGTATTCTGACGTTCCATCCATCTCTGCTTTTTGTTGGCAGAGTTTTAAAGCGTCATTTCATTCCCACCCACCGACGACCTTCGAATCTAAAGGGTCTTTCGGTCGGAGCCTCCCATCCTTCTCCATCTACGACCTCGTCAAGGAATTGTGGAGGTCTTTGAAGCCAGGATGTAAGGTGTGCCGTCACTTCCCTTCCAAACTAATTACTTTTGCGATTCACCCCATGTCATATTATTCCACATCTTTCAAACGATGTGGCAAATCGTTACGTTGGGGAGACCATCGGCCAGTGCCATCATTAAACAATCGATTAGCTCGTCCTGCTTCGCGATTTAAATGCATGGTAGACTCAGGCGATTGCAAGGAATAGGATGGCTAGGAACGACTCCAGCCCATCAAAGGAAAAAGGGGAGAAAAGGCTAGGCGTGAAACAAGCCCATCAAAGAAAAAGTGCACCCTGGGGCCTTACCATGCACTGCCTCTGCTACCTTCTGGCCTTGACCTCAAGGCTCATTAGGCCAATAACATTGGATAAGTGGTGTCTAGGATAAAATATAAAAACGGTATGGGAAAGAGCTCAATCACTGGAGCCTGTTCTAATGGACCTGTGTTGCAGTCACGTCCGAGCTGTATAAAAAGTTTCTGGAGCCTGAAGGAAGTTATTTACAGCCAAATTGCAGAAAAATCGCCTCCATCGGGAGCAAATTTAAGTAGATCATATTTGCATTGCTGAGCAAACAGGTTGAAAATTTTCTGAAGAAAATTCCCTCGATACCCATTGTTGAGTAGCCTTTGGTATGCGAGCTCACGGTTATAATGAAATCCAGCCAGATTTGCGCGAATCTTTTCAGTCGAGATTTAACAACATTGGGAGCAATGGGAACGTCCCATGTGCTTAGTCCGCGATTTAGGTTATCCCCGTCCTTGGAGGTGAACATTCGCGGGAAATCCCAGACAAATACATGCAATATTTCTTGATCGCTTCGCACAGCGAGGAACCGTAAATGAATTGTCCTCGGGCAAGAGAAATACTCCGTATTGGATGTGTGAATCCCCTGTGAATTGTATCCATGGTGTGTGCATATCTATCAATTGGAGACGAAAATCAATGACCACCCACCGACGAGGCCAAAGACCTTTTCGTCAAATGGGTCATATACTTTCCTTAAAAGAAATGACTCATTTTACAAGAGATATTCCACTCACGGTCGTCGCGCCCATGCAGAACGCGAAGATGTCCGTGAGCGTCGTGATCGTGATGGACACGCCGGACTGCTTCAGCGCCAGGGCGACCCGTTCCTCCGGCGTCCACTTCGCGTCCGCCGCGATCACGTTCTCCAGGCTCTGCGGTGAAAGAGAGGTCGGGAACGTTCGCGGCGAAGCTCCGCGGAACATCGCCGCGACCGTTTCATGGACTGCAGGTGAAGCCGACCTGGACGACCACGAGCGTGTCGTCGATCCCGATCCCGAGAATGAGGAACGGCATGATGCTGTGAAGGTCGTAATACGGCAGGCCCAGGTAAAAGCACAGCCCGAACGTGCTCAGGATGGTCAATCCGATTGCCAAAAGGGACTCCAAACCGATAAGAACCTGCAATGGAAACAGCAAGGGACTCCGAACCGATTAATATCCGCAAAGGGACGCGGCGAAAACCTGCTTCATGCCCGTGGAACTGTACAATTTCAGCAAATTCGAGGGTCACTCAATTTTAGCAAATTCGAGGGTCACTCAATTTCAGCAAATTCGAGGGTCACTCAATTTTTTTTAATTTAGGAATGGCATATTCTGCCGAGTGAATGACCTCGGCGATATGATACAGTCTTCTGAGAAATCTCTTTAAAAAAATATTACCCTCTCAGCAAATTCCCCGTGAAACACAAACGTTTCTCATAGGGGCTCGACTCGCCCAATGGACAAAACCTGGAATCGGATCGTAATGAAGTCTATATCCCTGCAAGACCAGAAAATCGAAACCGAGACGATTCACGCTTCTATAAATGGCAAAACACATGGAGCCGCGTTCCACGCGAGCCGCGCTCCACGCGAGCCGCGTTCCACGCGAGCCGCGCTCCACGCGAGCCGCGTCCACGCGAGCCGCGTTCCACGCGAGTCGCTTCGGCACACTGCGACCGCTCTCTTTCGATTCTCTCTGTGAACTAAGCTCGCAGGATTTGAAGCTCCGGGACGAGCCGTCGTCCCTTACGCAAGATGGAGCCTGCTAAATGAAAACGTTCTCGACTGCTGACAAGAGAGTAATGGAATTTGAGAATCTCGGAAGACTGCAACGCGTCACCTGATCCCTGATAGCATACTGCAAATTCAAGGTAACACGCCAGTTTTAAAGCAAGGAGAGGGCTCTATTCCCGCCCAGCAATGAATGGTTTTGCCTCGAGACAAAACCAAAGTTTCATTTAGCACTTGGGGGATTGCATAACAAGCAGTACCTCATGTTTTCCTTTATGCCATACAATATGACAGTTTATAAATATATATTTGTCATTCATGAAATGTAAATAGACTCAATAGAACATGGCAAAAACTAAAAACTCATCGAGTGGCCACATGTCAGCCGCATTTCCGAATTACGCCAGGCTCCGGCTTTAAAATCCGACCAGACCGGGCTCACCCTGTGCTGCAGGAGGTTCAGTTTCCCCATGCTCAGGGTCACGAAGACGGTGATGGAGATGAATCCCATGGCGAAGAGCGGCATGTTCTTCGCCAGCATCTGCCCCACCGCGTCTCGATAGCTGCGTTACCAAAACCGCAAATTCAAACGATACGATTCAACACGTTCTCGAACACGACCTTTCCCCCTCTTGGATGAGCCATTTTCCTTTAAAAAAAAATTCTCTTTGGGAGGAAGTTTGCATTTTAATTAATTGCTCATGAACTAACTCGGAGATTTAAATGAAGTATTCATAAGAGGATATTTTGAGAAATTTTAGCGTGTATTTTTATGGGCGTCAGCGAACGGCACACATCCGAGGACACTCGGATTTGGCGGCCAATGTGTTAATCAAATCTATTTGCGTCTTGCATGAGAGCCTCGACGCCCTTGTCACGCTCCCTCGACGCAAACAGAAGCAAAACGCTGGAAGGAAAACAAACGCGGACGGAAGGAAGACTGAAGGGAAAGAGCGGAAAATGACGAGGAAGACTAAAATGAAGGCATTCAGTCACAGACCTTCGCGCTGCCATGGCATACGTCCCGAGTCCTTCAGGCTTGGGAATGTCGTTATGAAACACCAAGTCGATGAATTCCTTCTCCCACGGTTCCGCGATCG